TAAACTCTGACTTAAGTCAAAATATGGCAGCTGTGGAATCCTTAGTAAAATCTACCAGTTGAGGCTTTTAATATAGAGTTCTTAACTTTTTTGTGAGTTACAGGTTACTTTGGTAATCTGGTAAAGCCTATGTAACCCTTCTCAGAAATGCTCAATTTCAATTGGAGGTTGGGGGAGGACAGGGGGGAAGATATATTTTGTTTTCTCATTCAAGTTCACAAACTCCCTGAAATCTTCCCGTGGACCCAGGTTAATAACCATTGATTTAATGCATCAAACTGTATGCCAGAATGAAATAGAGTGTTACGGTAATAATGATAATAAGTAATTTATTATTTTTTTTAATTTAATTTTTTTTTTGGCTTTTGGGCAATTGGGGTTAAGTGACTTGCCCAGTGTCACACAGCTAGTGTCAAGTGTTTGGTCTGAGGCCGGATTTGAACTCAGGTCCTCCTGACTTCAGGGCCGGTGCTCTATCCACTGCACCACCTAGCTGCCCTGATAATAAGTCATTTAAATAGTGTTTTGTTGTTACATAGCACTTGGTTATATTTCATCTTTATTACAGTCCTGGCAGATAGGCAGTGGTCTTATGGATCCCCATTTTACAAATGTAGAAATAGAGGCTCAGGAAGGTTATTTATTTTCCCAAAATTTGATAGATAGCAAGTAGAGGAGGCTGATCTAGAAGCTATTATTCAATACTCCTTAACTATACCACACTTTCTACTTTACTGAGCACCTATTATGTGCAGGGCACCAAGCTGGATATTGACTAGGATACATAAATAAATAAGATGTAATACCAACAGTAATAATTAGCATTTTTATAGTTGCTTTGAGTTTTGTAAAACACTGTACATATGCTATGTCATTTGATCTTTAAAACAACTCTGTGAGGTAGGTGCTGTTATTAATCTCATTTTACAAATGAGGAAACTGAAGCACAGAGAGTATATGTGGCTTGCCCAGTATCATATAGTTAATAAGTCTGTGAGGTAGGATTTGATATCACATCTTCCTAACTCTAAGTCCATTGCACCATCCAATTACCTCGTAGTCCCTTCTTCCAAGGAGCTTAAAACCTAATAGATTGGAAGGTGAAAAGATATATAGAGGGGGTAATACAAAATAATGTATACAATTGCACAAAGTTAAAAAAAATTCTATAGGAGTTCAGAGGAGGGAAGAATTACTTCTGGGTTAGAGGAATTGAGTAAGCATGGTAGAATTAATATCCTGCCTCCATACCAGTGAGGCTAGTTTTTCCTTGAAAGATATTGAGACTACCCTTAAGACTTGATTGGGTATAGGGACTAAAGACTCAGGCTATTATCATCATATCCTTGTTAGTGAGGAAAAAACAGTTGCAAGGAGGTTTAGGAGCTCTCTGATGCTTGGCCAGTAGAAAAAAAAATTCTCAAATCAATCAAGAGTTTAAATCATTTCAATTAAATTAAATTTAAATTTAAATTTAATTTAAATTAAATCATTTAAATCAACTCATGGTGTCCCCAATGCTTGTCCATGATAAATATCCTCCTGCTATGGTCAATAATCTCTTACACATTTAGTAAGTACCTACTATGTGCCAGGCACTATCCTAAACTCTGGGAATACAAATATGACAAAAGAAAGAGGCTCTGACCTCATGGAGCTTACAAATTAATGAGAAAAGACAATACACAAAAGGAAGCTGAAAAGCAGGGGGGGAAGGGGAGGGTGGAAAAGTCCCAGAAGTCCTGAAGTAGTTCAGCAAGGTAAGAAATGAGATGTTCTGAGCTCAGCTTCCTCCTTAAATGGAGGTTTGGAGTTCGTAGCCTCATTCTCCAATAAGAGGGACAGAAGTTAGTTATGAGGTAAAGTACCAAGACTTACGAGATCTTGGTAAAGTTTTTTGATGATGAATTTTTTCCCATTGATGAGCTTCCTGGGCTTGGTGAAGTCAGAGAAATCCAAAAGTAAGTAGGGAAGCTGGCAAGATCTGAGGTACCTCCTAAGGATTTGGAATTCATGTTCCTACCCTTCAATCAGAAGGTCAAGGGGGCTCTTGACGGGATCTTGCAAGCTATGAGATTTTCCCAATAATGAGCTATAACTAAGTAAATCTCATTTTGTTAACTTTTGAATGACTTGTAATGGTTCCTTTTCCCCCCCAATATTGAACATACAAAACCAGGAAACTGGCCTGAGTCAGACCCAGCTCAGAGTAGGAAGGTACTAGAGGAGGTGCTTTTGCCACAGTATATAAAATGGGGAGTATTGTGAGCTTGGACATGTACAGAATCATTGGACATGAAAGTTGGATGAGATCTTTGGATCATCTTGTCTAATCCCCTCATTTTACTGATAAATTGAGATTCAGAGAAACAAAGTAATGTATCCAAAGTCACACAGCGAAAAGAACTGGAATTCATTTAGTATGGGTTTGACACAGATTTTGCAAGGCCTGAATGCTGGCCATTGGTGGAAAAGAGACTGATTATAAAGCTTTTGCAATAGTTCCGTAAAGGAATAATGAATGTTATTTCAGTGGTCCCAAATATGTCCTTGAGCTATTGGGGCAGGTTCTCAAAACAAGATCCATATCAGAAGTACAGCTGAAGCTATTTCTGAAAGCTATGTCTCCTAGATCTGGTGGCCCTTATAGGAAACATTGACCCTTTGTCTTGGTGACACTACCGAATATTACCACAAGAATCTGGACACCTGTGGAAGGGTCATATGGACACAATCTCCCCTGGCTGCTTTGTTGGGGGAAAGAAACAAACATTGACATCAGGGAAAATCCTTCATGGCACAGAGGATAGAGTGCTGGGCCTGGAGTCAAGAAGATTTTGGTTCAAATTCAGCCAAAGATACTTAACCAGCTGTGTGACTTTGGACACATCACTTAACCTGTCTACCTTAGTTTCCTCATCTGGAAAATGGGAGAAGTAATAGCACCTACTTCCTAGGGTAGTTCTGAGAATTAAACAAGATAATATTTATAAAGCACTTAGCATAGTGCCTGTCACCTGGTAGATGCTTAATAAATGCTCGTTTCTTTCTCTTTTCTTTCCCATGCTCTAGAGGCTTACCAAGGTCTATCATATTATGAACACTTGGCCATCCTATTTAAAATCTATCGATCCTAGTAACAACCCTTTTCCTCATTAAATTCCTATCTAATGTCCTTGATAATGTCCTTGGACTATACAATGCAGATATACTGGCTTCTTTTTTTTTTGTTATTTAGCTGGTTGTTTAATCACAACCCTCTTCCCCACACCACATCCCTGCCTCAATGTTGGCTGCAGGAGTTACTATCCATCAGCATTGTGCTTACCACTTTTATAACAATAATGTTAACAATAAGGGGCTGAATCAGTTACTGGGAATGAAGAAAAGAAAATTGATGTGGAGATATTGGGAAGGGGAAAGCATTATAATTTGACAATTCATTTAGGATATGTGAGAAAGGAATCTTGAGTTTTGAGCCTTTATTCATTAATAGAAATGGGGAAATTAAGAAAGAAGTCTGTTGTTTGGCCCAAAAGTGGTTTTTTGATATTGAGATAGTTGAGTTCAAGGTGAAACAAACAAGGGGAGATACCCAGTAGATAGTTAGAAATGGAGATCTTATGCTCAGGAATGAGGTTGGGAGTAGAAATAGAGATTTATATTTCATTTGTATAACCGAGGACTTATGTTTATGCATAGGGAGCTCTCCAACATACATACTTAGATTTTTTTAAGGGGAGAATGAATGAAGAAAAGATCGTATAACATGGTCATGTAAAAATAGTTTCAGGAGTGCTAAAAATCAGAATGAGCTGAGATGAGTGAGGAAGAGAAGGATAATACAGAAGAATTTTTAAAGTTATATTGGGAGGGGAAAAAAGATCAACAAAAGGTTGCCAAATTGATGACAGAAAACAGAACTTATGGATTATTGTTTTGCTTCTGTTCTCTCTTACAAGAAAAATGACTTTTGCACTTGAAAACAGTGGCTAATAGGGAGTTGCAAGATATGTAAGGAGATAGTACAAAAGTGTGTAATTCTTCTGGGTGAATTAAAGTCACTTGATAGAGGAATAGTCATGTACTGAAAGAATTGACAGATGGAATTGCTTAGTATGTCACTAAAATTTGAATGATCAAGGGAAATGGAAGAGTTACCTCAGATTTGGAAAGGAAGAGAATAGATTCTGCATCCATACAGGCCATTGAGCTTGACTTTGATTCCAGAGAAAATTTTTAAATGGATTACTAAAAAGGTGGTTGGTGAACATCTTAAAAAAGAAAGTGATGATTACAAAGAGCATCTCAAACAATTTCCCAGTCTGCATTTTATACACTTTAATTCCATCCCTCCAGAAATTAAATGTCTTGTTACCTTTTAGTTCCTAACATTTAAATGTTGTTGAAACTGTACTTATTAAAAAGTTAAATCATCAACTAACAGTATGTGTTAAAAATTGGCAAAGTGGTACAATAGATAGAGTGCTGGAATACCTGAATTCAAATCCAGCCTCAGACACTGAGCAAGTCACTTAACCTCTGTTAACCTCAGTTTCTTCATGTGTAACATGGAGATAATAATAGTATCTACCTCACATAGTTGTTGTGAGGACCAAATGAAATAATATTTGAAGCACTTTGCAAAGCTTAAAGTACTATATAAATTCTAGCTATGACAATTATTTAATCATGGTTCTTCAAAAATTCAAAAAAAGTTATTGTATATGACAGGTGAAATTTTTTACCTTATTTTTCCTATCAGTCTCCATTTAGGAATCTTCCTAGATAGCTAGAGCATTATAATCTGCAGGCTGGGAAAGAAATGACCAAGCTTATTAGAAATATGAATAAAGTAAAAAGTAAGTAATCTCTGAGTTAGGAGCTCTGAAACTCTTTTCTGAGTAAAATTCATGTTCTCTACTGTTACAGAATTGTGGCATTAATTTTGCCTTTTCAGAAAATTTTTCTTAACTTGTTGGTTTTTGGCTGTGTTCTAGATGGCTGAGATTGCCAGAAGTCTGACCTCCAGATAAGTAAGGTGTTGTCATACATTGATTGCATAATAAAGGTAAGCTTGTTACCCCAAAGGGGTAAACAGTTATATTACTGTTATACTGTTTTGTTTTCCCAATTCTACTTCCAAATATATCTGGCATCTGTCCCCCTCTTTTCTATCACCCGGCCCTCACCTCAGTTCAATCTCTCATTAATCTCCCCCTTGGACTATTGCTATAGCCTCCTAATTAGACTCCCTGTTTCAGATCTCTCCCCTTTCTAATCAATCCTCCCACATAGCTGCCAAATTAATCTTCCTAAGGCATGGATCTGACCATTTTCTTCCCTGGTCACAAATTTCTGTGACTTTTTTTTGCCTCCAGAATTAAATATAAACTACTTAGTGTGGCATTTAATGACATTCACAGTGTGGCTCCAGCCGCAGCCACTGTGGCACACACAGCCTTTCTAGACTTATTTCATTTTAGCCACCTTAATAAACCTTATGTTCAGCAAAACTGGACTACTTCATGTTCTGTTAACTTAACATTTCCTCTTCTCTGACTTTGTACAAAATTTCCATATACCTAGGATGTCCTTCCTTCTCACCTCTGCTTCATAGAATTCTTAGCTCCCATCAAGACCTGACTCAGGTCGTAACCTCAACAGAAAGTCTTTTTTCTTGATCTCCTGAATTATTCATTCCCTCTCCCTCCTTAAATCATATTGTGCTTTTTAGCTTTCTAAAAATTGTACCCACCTTTTCCCATGCCCAACACACACACACACACACACACACACACACACACACAGTAGAATGTAAGCATCTTAAGAAAAGGAACAATTTTTTTTTGTATCTCTGGTGCCTAGAATGGCAAGCACTTAATAAATGTTTATTGAATTAAATTGAATTGGAAATTATTTTTATTAATTTTTTTTTCAATTATTAAGCATTTTTCTCCTTTTCCTCACCTCTCAGTGGAGGGAAAGAAACCTTGTAACAGACAAGCATAATCAAACTTTCCTATACTGATTATATTTGAAAATATTTGTCTCATTCTACATATTAGTCTATCACCTTTCTGTCCAGAGGAGAGCAGTATTCTTCATCATTAGTCCTTTGGACTCATGGTATAACATTGCATTGATCAAAGTTCTAAAACTTTCAAAATCATTTGTTTTCTCTAATGTTGATTCCCTAGTATAAATTTTTCTCCTGAATCTGTTCACTTTATTGTGCATCAGTTTATATATATCTTCCCAGGTATCTCTATTTCTTCATTTCTTATAGGAAAATAGTATCCCATTACATTTCTATACCATCACTTGTTCAGCCATTTCTAAATTAGTGGTTACCTCCCTAGTTTCCAGTTCTTTACCACTGCAAAAAGAGCTGCTACAAATATTTCTTTTTTATCTCTGGTATATAGACCTCATAGTGGTATCTCTAAGTTACAGTGTAGGTACAGTTTAGTAACTGTTTAGTCATAGTTAGAAATTCCAGAATGACTCCACTATAATCACAACTTCATCACGAGGTACATCAATGTGCTTGCTTCCTACAGCCCCTCTTACATTTGTTATTTTTTGTCAACTTTTTAAAAAATTAGTTTGGGTATGAAGTAGAATTTGAATTTAGATTGCTTTAATTTGCATTTATCTAATTATTAGTGTTTTGGAGTGTGTTTTTATATGGCAATAGATAGGTTGAATTTCCTCTCTTGAGAACTGCCTATTGAACTTGCTTTTCATAATGCCTTCAGAAGACTTTAATAAGGCAAAAGTATTAAAACTAACTGATTGTAATTTACAGTGGAATTATAACCCATGAGTAGTTAACAAAATGCCAATATTTTTCACTTCTGTCTTCTGACAGCTGGAGATGCACTAACAAAATTCAAAGGCAAATTCTTTTGAGAACTTCTGATCAAAACTGAGCAAAGTAGCACAAATTCAACCTTTCCCTTTTATTCAATGGAGAAAAGTATGTCTCATTCTAGCACATTATTGTCCTCTGGCTTGTAATCAAATATTAGGATGTTATTAGGATGAGATTGCTATCCTCCTCTAAGTGTAGTAAGAACATATTTTGGACATTCTTTGGTATTTCAATACAGAATGCTGCAAATTACAAATTCATAACCTTTGATTATAAACTGTGCTACAGCATTCATTAGAGCACAAAAGCTGGTGTTTGGGGTATTTTTTCATTATGGAAACGTGGGGGGTTAATACAGGTGGAAAGTTATTTTGATTCCCAGGAGCAGAAAATGCTGTGAATAAAGCATTATTTCCTCTGTAATAGTGAACTAATGTGCATTCTGTCCTGAGTCCTCTCATAAATCACAGGCAACATTCCAAATAGTTAAAATAGCAAAGAAATGGAAATATCATATTTATAGCCTGAGGTTTCTTCCCCTTATGGAACTGCATGTGGTCTTCTTTGATTTAAAATCTATTCCATTGAAATTTGGACCCACAGGAAATGGACAGGCTTATTGCTAGCTTTATTCTGAGTAGTCACAACAAACCATTAATAGTGTGACCTAAAATACTATTCTATCCCTACAGGTGAAAAAAGAAATATTATGTCAAATAAACAAAATGTTGAAGTGATAAAATATAGGTTATGCAAAGTAGCTTTGAATGTAAGAATCATAAGATTGTTTCAAACCCAGGGACCTGTTTCTTGATCTTATTTAGTAGGCTCCATAATGGTTGTATTTGAAGCACATTTTGACCAAAACATACCTTCAATTTGCACCTGGAGGTTTTCTGCCTAAAATATGCCATTAGACTAATTATATTTTAATATTCCACCAACCAGGTCATTTAAATCTCTGAAGCTTGAAATCACATAGAGTTCTGAGATCCTGGGAGCAAATACATGATGAGTACAAATGGTGTCTGGGTGCATGAGAGATAGAATGTACTAATATGTTCAGTGACAGCTTCGTAATCTAATAACAACAAATAGTACTTTAAAGCTTAGAAATCAAAGCTGATATTAACTTTTTTTTTTGGTTAGGCAATGGGGTTAAGTGACTTGCCCAGGGTCACACAGCTAGTAAGTGTTGTATGTCTGAGGCCGGATTTTAACTCAGGTCCTCCTGAATCCAGGGCCAGTGCTCTATTCACTGCGCCACCTAGCTGCCCCTGATATTGACTTTAAAACTGATATCCTGTGCTATCAAAACTTTAAAGCTGATGTCCTGTGATTCTCAGAACCACACAGGATGGGCATATTATGGCTGAAAACACTGAGTCTGGGAGAGGCAAAGTCACTAGCAAAGAGGCACATAGCAAGCGACTAAAGCAGAATCAGAACTTGTACTTATGTCTTCCTGACTCCAAGTCCAGCATTTCACCCCCTATCTGCTTCTTTGGTGAGGGGTATAGCTTTGCCTTTTACCCTCTCTTGTCCAGTCAGTGAGTAGAAGTCATGGATACATCAAAGAACATGAGTCTGAGTCCTAACCCTGCTATTGACTTACATGTGTTACTTAGGGCATTCTGGGCCTCAGTTTCTTCATCTGTTAAAAAAAAAAAAGGGTTCAGACTAAATGACTCCTTTGATTCTTCCAAGCTCTAAAGATCTCACCAATTTGTAACCAACACCTAAATGAATTTTTACATGGTCAACTAAGGGAAGCCTAGAATGAGATGTGTAAATAGGAAAATAAGTTCCTTACTTTTTAGTAAGGGCAGCTAGGTGGTACAATGGACAGAGCTCTGGACCTTGAGTCAGGAAGACCTGAGTTCAAATGTGGTCTCAGATACTAACTTTGTGAACCAGGGCAAGTCACTTAACCATGCTTACCTCTATTTCCTTATCTGCAAAATGAGCTGGAGAAAGAAATAACAAACCACTATAGCAGCTCTGCTAAGAGAACCCCAAATGGGGTTACAAAGAGTCAGACGTGACTAAAAATAACTAGCTACAGTAACAACAACTTCCTGACTCCAGGTTCAGGGCTCTATCCACTCAGCCATCTAGTTGCCTGTATATATATAAATTTACATACATGGCAACATATAGTTCACCTAAATATTTATCATGGGCACTATTCTTCATCTAGGCTACAGAGTTCTCAGCCTTGGTGTTAACTCTGACTCTTTCCTCTGACTCCACTCTCATATCAAATCCAACAAGTTCTACAATTAAATAAAATGTATTGCTTCTGCTTTGTATAAATTACCAGAAAATTAACAAGTCCCATTATTTCTATTGCCTCAGCATTTCTCACAGTCATCCAGTCTACCTATTCTCATTGCCTTTGCTTTAACATAGGTTCTCATGACTATCTTTCTTGACTACTGTAAATCACCTCTTTACAAGTATTCTCATCTCATCATCTTTCCCTTCTAATGTATCCTTCACAATGCTGCCAGACAAATTTCCTTATGTATAGATCTGGTCAGATCACTCTTCTCCTCAAACAATTTAAATTAATGTCTCTTGCCTATTGAATAATGTTCAGTTCCTGGCATTCAGTAACTTCACACATTCTCATGATTAGAATAGCATTCTTGATTTTAATTCTAAAGCATTTTTTTTCCTTTTCATCACATTTATTCTCAGTTAACAGCTTTTGTCTCTCATACATAAATGAGAATGAAACCCTCTTTTTCTTGGTTACTACTCAGCGCATATTAAATGTGTTTAGTAGCTTAATTCAATGGCTCATCTTTATACTTCTTTAACCAAGTTAAAATACTTAGCTCACTTCCATCCTCTCCCTAATTTATTTTATTGCTCTGATACTGGGTTCCTTAACTGGAGAGGTAAAAGTTTTCTAGGTTGCTGCATAAAAGAGATTATTGATCCTGAGATGTGAAATATCTGCCCTAAATTTAAAATAACCCTTGTTTCTTTTCTACCTAGACTACATTGCTAATTCTTCATTTCCAGCCTATTAAACTATATTTATCTCATTGTTATGCTTTCCACAGTTCTCTAGCCTAATGAATATTCAAAAAATTGTTCTACATTAGCCTATTATATCTGTGGCTGGATTTTCTAGGTGTTAATGAAATGCCTTACAAGTCCTATTTGGGTGAAGTCCAAAGGGT